CGGCGTACTACCGGTGACTTTTTCTATTCTTCGCAGACCGATAGCTCGGTTGAATTTAACAATACTAATCTGATAACAATGCAATGGCAATGCATCCTTCCACGGGGCTGCTAATCACTCACTGCAGTCAGCTTACAATAGCTCAAAACACGTTCGTACACACAGTCGTTCTCTTCGACTGCTGGCTGTCTTCTCCAGCGCAGATTCGGTGGTGCGAAGCGTCGAATATTTCCATTTGCCATACACTGTGGGGATCATTTTTCGTTTCGTTCGCCTACCCTCCGGATTCTGCATGTGATTGCTCTCCACTTGGTCTTTGTCTGTTCCCAAGTCGCTCCACTCCTGCTGCCGATACACGCCCCACTGAGGTGATAGGCGCATGCCTCTCTCATACACTTGGCCACATGCTTGCGCCTTTGGCATCTGTGCAGGCCACGTGTTCTCCCCCACCCCCACCCCTTCTGTGTTATGATCAGGACGATGATGTGGTTGTTGGAGCGAGTGTGGCGCTGACTTTTGGACACCGTTTCCTGTATTGGCTTCATTTGTATAATGTCCCTGAACCAGATGCGTGCCATTCACCTTGTCCACAACCTGGGCGCGTGAGCCTAGATACATGCGCGGTCGAGACCGCCGCACACAAGCGACGTCTATGGTCTGGTCTGGTCTGGTCTGGTTCGGTCTAGTCAGTGCTGATAACTCTATTCCTGGCTTGTGTTTGCGCGCGCATGTGTGAAACTGTCGGCGTTCCGCATTCCTTTTTTCACTCTCGTCCTCAGTTTACCATTATCTGACATGTGCGCGCGATCCATGTTTACCGAGCAACGAGCACCTCATGGCCATCCTCCTCTATTTAGTTCGTACTTTCCGAACTGATAGATAAGTAACTGAGCTTATGCGAACAAGACAGTCGCCAACTTTTGGCGCGATGAAACCCCATTGTAACTCCAACGAGGACGTCGATATGATCGGTCAGGTTAGGTTGACCGGGCAAATTTCATCACCATGTACTTCAGCATTACGATGGCAATCCGAATGTATAACTACTTGTTTAATCCAAAAAGCTACTCACTATGAGCCTCGCAGATGTCCAGCATGCCTTACTTGATAGTACACATTAGTTATTTAGAAGGTCTCTTGAAATACTCGTTGTGTCACTGGACTGTCGGCGCGGTGTGAGACAAGGATGCCCGCTGTCACCTTTTCTAACTTCTCCACTGATGAAGTCATGGATATTGCGTTCACTGAACACGACCTGCAAGACGTGGAGCTGCTCCCTGGTGATCGACTTCTTGATTTGGAGTGCGCCGACTACACTGCGCTTATCTGTGACAGCCTTCAAACGTGCTACATAACACTAGACAGACAAACAGTGGCTGCCAATTGTTTCCAGTTTTGCTTTGCACCCTCGAAGTGCAATGTGCTTCTCCAAGATTGGCAGGGACCCACGTCTGTGCTGACCCTTGTTGGTCGAGAAATTTAAATGCCTAGGCAGCTATATCAGCACCATTGGAACGAAAAATGAGACCACAAACGGCATAGCAAAAGCTCGTGGTGCTTTAGCTAATCTCCACCACCTGTGGTGCCGGCGCGACACCACTCGTCATGAAAGTCAGAGTTTACAATGCAGCTGTCCGTTCAACCATGCTGTGGTTGCGAAACCTGGCCCATCAAGTCGACATTTTTAAAGAGGCTAGTCACGTTTGATCATCGCTGCCTTCGTTGCTTAGCTCATGTCTGGTGCAAGTACCGCATGAGCAATGAGCGTGTTCGACATCGTGTATTTGGCTCAGTAAGAGCGAGTGAACCGCTCACCACCGGTATGTCACGCATCAGGCTCCGATGTCTGGGCCACCTGTTGCGCATGCCATCACACGTACTCCCGCATCATGCGTTGTTTGCGCGACCGAAGTGTGGATAGAAGAGGAGGGGAGGCCAACGCTAACTCGGTCAAGAGGAATGAAATCTGTCACTTTGGAGTTGGCGTCGGTTGATGTGTCCCGACTGCATGGCTGTGGACCGATGGATGATGAATACGTCTGGTTGCATACACTAGTTAACATGTCAAGGAGCCGATCTCAAGGCGGTTTGTGTTGTGAGTTTCTTTGCCTCTGCGCTTCCAGCCTATCTTCCTCCTCCAACCAAGATTTTTCTCTTGACTTATATTAGGTTACCTATTTTTCTGCAATTTGCAGTCTTTTTTCACTTGTCTTATCTTTATGGATTGCGGCATAAGGTTAGAGCTGTGTTTCTCACCTTCAGCTAATGTGATGACGATGATGAGTTGATGCCTATGAAAGTTAGGTATTACCCACCAGAAAACACCGTTTCGATCTTATTTGTTGCCATCAGGTAGAGATAGCAGGCATCGAACCCGGGACCATTGGTACTTTAGTTGAGATTTCTACCCCTTTGGCTACGGGGATACGATAGGCAATGCTTGGCACAACGTTTAAGGACCGATTAGATGATTGTTTTGAAGTACTCGTTATGTTGGCTATGGAATTGAATTGAAAACTGGTAGCTCAGGTTGTTCAGATTGGATTATGAAGCGCAGTCTCGATGTGGATTGTATCTCACCTTGAAGTGGACCTTGGTCATTTCTACGCCTAGAATTTCTACCTGTTAAGCTTAAACAACATCAAAGCGCGTCGTGGAGTGAAAGGTTTTCGGTCGGACAACTTCGAATTTTCAACAGACTAGCTGCTTTTCTTGTTTGTCTGACTTGTCGTTACGAGAACACTAATTGTAGTCTCAATTAGACTGCCTGTTCTTTAAATTCCAGTTAAAATTCCAGCCGCATAGCTACCTGTCATCTTGTCATTTTCCATCCCAACCGAATATAGATTTCTTCAAGAAATGAATGGAATTCAACTTGTGTTTGTCGTACCATGCTTTTGAGATGTCCTAGCGTGCAAGGTTTTGATGGCTGTTAGGAAGTTCTTTACCCCACTCAATTACTTGTCGAATGTTGACTCCTCTCCTTCGAAACTGCCTCTCCTGCTGTGCCAGTTTATCAGAAATGTATCTGTTTGTAGATTTTTCGAGCTTTTCTCTTCTCTTTCATGAAGTCATTGCTTATCCCCATCGAGATGATTACTCCATCTTGGCCATACTTTATGGGCGAAATAACCTACACATTAAGCATTTGTTATGTCTCCTCCATCGTGCGAATACCGTCGTATGTGCACTGCACATGCAATAGTGTTTAAAGCCACCTCCGGTGATTACGCGGTCGTGTATGCTTACCATATGCAATCATTGTTCTCCTTACTTATCTCTCTTCGTTCCTCGATGCAACGTGGCGGCGTTCTTCTAGTTACTCACGATCCGCGCCTGCCCACTTTTCTGGGGGAGATTGAATCTTTTAGTTGCAGTTTCGAGGCTGTTTTCTTCCAACACTGTGCTCCACAACCTGATTTAGGCTCGTCAGGTAGAACTAGCTTGAGGTGAGAGAGTGTGGAATCCGATATATAGTGGTGGACGGTCTACCGCTTGGTCACTAATCCAGAGCTCCGCGAACGGCGCGGTCCCATTGATTGAACTAAACTTTGGTCTCAATCGAGATTGCTTGTCGCACATGGCTAGATCATTTATGCCAAACAATGTATCTTTGAGTTGTACAACTGATCCACCGTACCTTACTGACTGCTGAACAGATTAATCATCAGAGACCTATTTTTCTGGCCTTCAATTTCTGGGGTTGGAACTAGAGTAGCGCTCATTCCTGTGCAATTGATCATCATCATATTTCCGGTGGCTTGCTTAGATTTGTGGCCTCAATCGTTCTGCCAAAGTTTGGACACTGACCCATTAAAATACAATCACATCGCAGTTTCAAAAGTGTCACCTTATCTGTTGCATACAACACGAGGTGGATAAGCGAAAATAGGCTGCTACTGGTGCCTTCCTCTTTCCATCTAACTTTCGCCTACGCGTATGTGAAGGGAAGTTCAAGACTGGAATGTGGAGGTGATTGGGACTGGATCACTTATCAGATCTAAACTACACTGTCCACAGCCTGTTGAAGCAAACGTTTTAGACGGACACTTGTTTTGCAACTTATTCCCACCTCTGGATCCGATTCCATAAGTTGACTCGTTTGTTTGTGGCGTTCTCAGTAATTCCATTGCTGTGGTTACGGTCAAATAATGCTAAAAAGCTGTGGAAAATTTCTGGGTGGATTCATTTTCGCGCATCTCATTATAGAGCTTATTCCAAAGTTGGTTGTGGTGATCTATATGGAAGTTTTCAAATATCTCTTCCGAAGCATTCTACCAGAACAGAACCTGCTATTTCCAGTATAATATTTTGCTAATCATTTCAATGGCATACCTAGATTAACGGAGTGTACTCGGTTGCTGAAGTATCTAAGCAACGGAATATCTTCGTCTTTATCCATCGCGGCCACATCGGATTCTTATAAAGTGTGTGACTGCAATACATGTATGACGGTGTGGTTGAGTATCCTAGGAGCCTTTGGTAACTGGTGGTTTAATTTGTTCTAATAAGGCTCGATCTCCCGCTCTGGATTTACAATGTACCATTGAACCGTATTCCAGACTGCCCAAGTACCGTTTGTACGTTGTTGTATGTGTGCGCAAGTACGGTCGAGAGAGCCGTGTGAGCCGCGCTTTCCCACACCCATGAGCTGTTTGTGACTGTCTGACGCTGATGTGGCGCAAGCCCCTGAACCCTAAGTGTTTGCCCTAATCGTTAGGGTTTTACACCAGATCCCATTTTCTATTCTGTTCTTACGCATTAGTAGGAATGAATACTGCATACAGGTGTGCTGCTGCTGCGGATCCTTTAACCGACCATCTTCTTACGTGTGCTGATTCACCGACACTATACACGCCCTACTGCTCCACACCCACATGCAACTCCACTCCGTCGACAGTGCTTTGTGCTCAGGCACCAATCGATTCACCAGGGACACCGTGGAATTTCCCTCCTATGCCACGATATAACTTTTTCTTCTGCCTCGTTTCTTTTGCTAGCTCCTGTTGCAATCTCACCGTTCTGGATGTGTCCTGGTGTGCCATCGGTGACCGTGGATTGGCTGCAGTTGCTCGAGGATGCAAGAGTTTACAAAAATTCCGCGCCGTCGGGTGTCGTGATATCACCAGCCGTGGCGTGGAAAAGCTCGCCCGCCGCTGCCACGGTTTGCTGCTGCTAAATTTGAACTATTGCGGTCAGGTACGTAGGTGTTCATGTGGTCGGATTTGTTTTGTTGTTTATGGGGTCATTTTCAGTCACTTCCTCCATTTGATGGGACCCGACTGTGGAAGCGATCATTTCAGTGGCTAAAGCAACACGGGAAGCTTGGGTTTGCCTTGCGCGATTCAGTCTGAACCGAATTTCCCCTTGTGGAATTGCAGTCCATACCGCTCCCTCATCGTTCAGATGGCTGCGTCTATCGAAGTTGTGTGTTTTAGGGTGTCCGGGTGATTCATGACTCGAGCTTATTACTCAAGTACATAATGCAACTAGCGTATGATATTACACCTGGACAGTTGAACGCAAAAGATGTAGGGGACAGATGAGGGACTCTAATAACTCGGAAAGCTGTTCAATGAACCAGACAAGCAACCAACATGGATACCTTCGTTTTATTGACCCATTACAGTGCGGTGCTTCAAAGGCAATTCAAATCATCGCTCTTGTTACGCGCATACCTAGAATCGTGCATAAACTGAGAGAGAAATGTTTTCACTTGGGTTCTTTGCACTTTCATGGTGGAGATGTTTATACTCACTAAATGCCTATCTACCTGAATATAATTGCCGTGCAAGTTGGCCTGAAAAAGTACATCTGTGTCTTTTATTAGTCACCTTTGTTTACTCTGTTTTGCATTCGTCATTGCGGCCCCTGGAGTTCCAGTAGTACCACGCATAGATCCATCGCGATGCGACTGGACCTTACCGTGGTGCGATGATTTGCCTGCTTCAGCGATCCATTGAGCTATGCTGGGTGGTTCTTTTTCCACCTTCAGAGTCACTCATACCAGATTGGTCAATGGTTAGAGGCCAGACAAGCTCAGCCTCCTGGTCCTCCAGGTTAAGGGTTGGAATGTGGATGGCTCCTTATTCCTTAAAACGGAATCCTTATAGCCCAACGCTAAAGCCGCTGCTTTGCGGTCCAGTTTTTGAACCAAAGGCATTGGTTGAGAACGCTGCTCGTTCTCCTGTCTATGACTGCGCAGCCTGACAGTATCCTGTCCACGCTATGAATCTTCCATCAAACAATTTCATGGTGTTCTGAGCACCGCAGAAGATAATCAACGGTGCCCTATCTGCTGCATAGGGCAGGGTGGATAGGGGTACGGTTCCTACTGCTCAAGCCTTCCCGTCTTCTTATTCACCCTCTTTCTCTTTTTCACCCCTCTTGTCCCATTTCCAGTTTCACTTTTATCCCCCTTTTTTCAACCCCTAATTCTTGACCCTCCCCCACCTTGCTTTGATAGACTTTTATCTTCTAGTTTCAACTCACATGTGAACGCGGAGCATCGTTCCTACTCTGTCGACAGACCCATGTCCAAACAAGCGGTCAAGCCCAGTTCATCGGCTTCCATTTGGAGCCCTCAATCCTCCTTGAGATTCGCATGCCTGAATCTCCGCACATTGCTATAGATCGATCAACAGGCAGCACTTACCCGAACATTAGAGACCCTCTCGATTGATATCTGCTGCTTATCGGAGACCCGCCTGCAAAACTCGAGCTCTGTGCTCCCTTTGCTATCTCCTTCAGGTGAAACCAGCAGCACTTTCTCATTGCATCTATCCGGAGACGATGCAGCTTCGAACACCGATTAAGCCGGGGTTGTTAATCCCCTGAGTCCCCGGCCTCAAGCTACTCTGGTTGATTTGATTCCAATCAGTAGCCGGATGTGTGCGGTCCGATTGGCTGGCTCGTTCAAAGCTTCGAAATCGCGCGAGACTGACAAGTGTCTATTCCTTATCGCTGCCTATGCACCCACAAACTCTAGCGATGATTCAGTAAAAGATGACTTATGCCGCCAAATGAAGGAGCTTCTTCGCCACAGAAAAAGCACGGACACTGTAGTGCTGGCTGGGGATCTGAACGCTCAAGGTGGAAAATTATCCACTGCTGAGCTGCATCTGGGTGGCCAACATGGTGTAGGCTCCCGTAATGATAACGGTGAGCGGTTACTTCATTTGTGTGAGGATGCCCGCTTATTTCTTGCGAGCACTAATTTTCGACACAGCACCCGCCGGACGGTGACTTGGTGCCAACCAGCCATGGACGCATATCAATCACATTACTACCGGTTACCGCTGGAGAGGGTGCGTCCGGAACTGTTGCTTGATTTGGAGCACATATGTGGACACTGACCATGCACTTGTATGTGCTGACTTGCGGATACGTTTTGGCGGACGCCTACGACGACCCTGTGAACGCATTGACACCAGCCAACTGACGAACCCTGCTGTTCTGAATGCCTGTCAAAGTACTTTGACATGCGAGTTAAGTTAGCGCTCACTGGTCTTATGTTCACGAGACCTTACTAGCAGCAGGCAAATCCTTATGTGGTAAGTCTAATCGCCAACATGGATATGGGATCTCTTCGTAGTCTCTGAAACTTATTGATGCTCGCTGGAAGCGAACACAATGAGATACGCTGAATATTTCAGGCAAACCTCTGTGTTAGCCTGAAAAGAGACCGCGAATCCTGGTGGTCTCATTTTCCATCAGAGATGGAAATGACCGCTGCCCTTGGTAACCATCGTAAGTTATTCCGTCTGATACAGGAAACGGGCAGCAGGAGACCTGGTGTTAGTGAAACAATTTCTGACGAGAATGGACAGACTATCCACAATTTGTCAAAACGCTTGGAGCATTGGAATGAGCACTTTAAAAGGCAATTTAATCGATCGGAATTGTCAGATTTCTTACCCGCCAGTGATCGCCCTCTTCTCTGGGCGGTCTCTTTAGATCCGCCCTCTCGCTCAGAAGTCGAACGTGAGAGCAGACTGTTGAAGTTAAATAAAGCCTCGGGACCAGATGATCTTCCTTCAGCATTCTTCAAATTCAGGGGACCTCTTTTTGTGCGTGATTTACACGAGTTACTAGTAAAACTGTGTGAGCAGGAAACTGTCCCTAAAGACTGGAGCCACATCGTCATAGTCCCAATTTTAAAGGAAGGCTCACGATCGAAATGCGGCAACCACAGAGGAATTAGTCTGATCTCCATCGCCCCAAAGTGCTTGCCTCTGTAATCTATCACAGACAGACTGGCACTCGTGCAAGTCAGATTCTTGAAGTGCAAGCCGGATTTCGTCGAGGTCGTGGCTGCATTGGCCACATTTTAACCTTGGGTCAGTTGTTGGAGCATCGTTACATATATTGGCGGCCCACCGTTGTCGTGTTCCTCGATATTAAGCGTGCATTCGTTTCGGTGGATCAGTATGCCCTCTGGGACTGTCTAGTCAGGAGAGGTGTATCCGAGAAATATGTAAATATTATCCGATCATTATACGCGCGTAGCTCGGGCAGAGTCAAGGCTTACGGTCAGCTGTCGCCATCCTTCAATATCTCCAGCGGTATAAGGGAAGGATGCCCACTGTCACCTTTCCTCTTCAGCTTCGCTATTGACGAAGTCATGGAAATCGCGTTCACAAGATACGACTTAGGTGTGGATCTGCTCCCAGGAGAACGACTTCTTGACTTGGAGTATGCTGACGACATGGCCCTAATCTGTGACAGCTCACAAACGTGCCAAGCGGCACTGGAAAGATTAGCACTGACTGTGTGTCACTTCGGGCTTTGCTTCGCACCCTCGAAGTACGAAGTGTTCCTCCAAGATTGGCCTGAACCGGCTCCTTCGCTGACCCTTGGTGGAGATCAGCTAGAAGTCGTGCAAAAATGCATTTACCTGAGAAGTTGTATCAGCGCCCTTGGGATTGAAGAGAAGATAACGAACGGTATAGGAAAGCTCGAGGCGCTTTTGCTAACCATCACCATTTATGGCGCTGGCGCGACGTAACTCACGCCTTGAAGGTTAGAGTGTACAGTGCAGCGGTACGTTCCATCCTACTGTACAGTTGTGAAATCTGGCCCTTTAGATCAGTGGGCATAAAGATTCTAGTTGCGTTCGACCACCGGTGCCTTTGCAATTTAGCTCACATCTGGTGGGAACACCGCGTGAGCAACGAGCGTGTTCGACGCCTTGTTTACGACACAGGAAAAGGAAATGAACCGGTCAGCACCGTTATTTCACGTACCAGGCTCCAATAGCTGGGCTACGTGTTACGAATGTCTGGCCACCGACTCATACGACGTGCGTTGTTTGCGCGCCGGGGATGTGGATGGGAGAAGTGGAGGGGTGGCCAAGCGATGACTTGGTTGAGAGGAATGAAGGCCGTCAGCTCCCTGATTGGGGTCCGAAGGACGATGAATACGTTTGGCTGGATACACTAGTTGACATGGCTGTGAGTTACTTTGTCCCACCCCATTTCTTTTAGCCTTCCCTCGAACTACGATCTCACTTCTTAGCCTGATATAATTTAGCATAATCATTTTTGCTGCATAATAGCGTGCTGGTAGCTTTCCGGAACAATACCCATCCGTTACCGGTAGCTCAGCTGACTTGCATCTGTCTCGCTTTTTCCGTGGTTTTGTGTATTGCAGCACAGTGGATGGGGTGCTTCCCACCTCTAGCCAACGTGAATGATGATTACCACTCATATGTTGATTCACACGTTGCGAAACACTACAATCTCTTATTCCCTTGCTGTACACCTCCAAAAGCTTATAGCTAATCTTTGAAAATCCGTGGACTCATCTGACTGTCAGAGTCCACTTCGCCTGCCTAGTAAAAATGACTGACCACGGTAGAATAGTTTTTTTCGGAAGGCGATTAGCTGCAAGAGGGCAGTTCGGATCACTAATGCGCATTAGAAGCCTCCAGAAAATTCATTCACCACCTGATATATCTAATGACGTTTGGTTTGATTGAGTCGACTGGCCACAGTTATACTTAGTGGCTGCCCGAATAGTCGAAGGTTCCCAGGATGGCCTCTTCTGTCCAATTGTGCCGTTAAATGCGTTTTTCATCAGGATGGTTGACTATTGGTTTCGGCAGGGATTGGTAGTTTACGAAAATTGATTTATAGCCTCCTCGTTAGCTTATTTCTTGCTCGTCCGTGAATCCACACTCTTAGTGACAATGTATAACTTATCTTTCTCAACGCGTTACTGTTCAGACACCCGCGGGATCACGCTGTTCCACCTGTGGCATCTAGTGTATATATGTGTATGCGTGTGCGGGCGCGTGTTGTTAGTTATGCGGGTGATAACTTTTGATCTTCACTCGCTTTTAGTTCACCTCATTCAGAGTTCATTCAACTTTCTTGAACCATTCCTTTCCATTAACCCGTTATTTCTCCGCTGCTTTCACAACACGCTGTACGCTTAGTGGCTTGCTTCGTACACGATCGTTTCAAATCTCATCTGATGCGGGCGGTTTATATTCATGGAATCACCAGGTATCGGATATGTGTTTCATACGATACAGATGTTACCTCATAGTGGCCAACTTGGCCTGCGCGCGTTCAACGAGGCGAAACGTAGCTTTTCGGTGTGTGTTCGAGTGTGCGTTCCGAATCCGTTCACTGCTGTACCGGTACCACACAAAACCTAGCCCTGATCTAGGATCCCTTTGATTGTATCTTCACCAGCTTCAACGGTTTACGTGCGGGCTATATCGTGTGCTTCTTTTCCTTTAATCGAACGCATTTCGTACCACGGGCTCTTTGCACTCCCGATTTCCAGCTCATGCGTGCCTAGTTAGCCCGTTGTCTTCCAAGTTAATATCTGAAAGTGCTTTCGGGACCACAAAGCACAACTTACCGCACACTCTTTACTTCATTTAGCACATTGCTTCATCCGCGGAAGTGTTGCGTCACATGATTTAGAGTCAGTTTTGGGTGTGGGTCGTACCGCGTGATTGCTTCGGTACAGCAGATATCGGCCCATATAAGGCTATCATGCACATAGGAAACTGGTAGATAACACCTAAACGTGTGTGGGACCATCTAAGCCTGGTAGAGGTGTGATCTCGCTGCGTTTCAAGCCCCAAAGCGAAGAGTAACTGAGTATGTTCAATCTCCCTTACAAACATAGACTGAGTGTAAAGTCTACGATATGGATATCTATGATGTACACACACATCGACCTACTATCTTTGGAAACGTCCTCGTCACGTTCACCGACATCTCTTGAAGTCCATTCATAACACTCAGGGATTACCAGCTGAAGTTGATCCAGCATGTCTCAAGTGGTGATGCTATACTCTTCTGATTTGTGTGATTTTTCCAACCGCAGTGCATTGAGCCGCTTCCATCGCATGTAACCGTGTTCATTAGCAGACGACATCCTACAAACAAAAGCTGTGCTCACCAATTTTTCCACTAATTGAAAGTGGCCGGATTCACCTTGTGTTATTTACGTGAATATCATGGTAACTCTACAGTTGCATGGTCTCTTTTGTTGAAAGCGTTTAGTTTGTAGAATGCACTTCGGACCCAGACCAACCCCGCGGGGCTTGCTAAAATCCTGAGCTTTTTCGTCACTCATCATTGTTTTTTGGTCATGCTTGGTTTGGCGTGCCTCAAAACACTCGGGAATAAAAATTTCATTTATCTACTTATTTATTTACCATTATCCATGTTAGCTAGCGGTGAGAAGCACCTCAGCTATCGTGCTGCAATGCATTGGAAAAGAATAAATAGACAATTGAGGTACGCCAATTGAGCTACCGAAAACGGATAGACATCGTTCCGGAGAACTAACAGCCAGCTACTTACCGTAAAAAAGTTGTATTATGTGACCGGAATGAGATCATGATTGGAGGAAAATGCTGAGCAGGAGGGGAAGGACAAAGAAACATAATACAAACGCCATTTTGATCGACTCCTAGCCATGTCAAATGGTGTATCCAGCCAAACGCGCACATCGTTTTTCGGACCCTAACCAAGGAGCCGAGATTCTCCAACCGAGACCAGCTTCGAAGTAAACGTCTTCATTCCTCTCGACCAAATCATAACTTTGTCACCTCTCCTCTTCTTCCATCCACACCCCCGGCGTGCAAACAGCACACATCGCGGTATTCGATGGGCTGGCATGTGCAACACGTGGCCCAGACATCGGAGCCTAGTGCGTGATACAACGGAGCTGAGCGGTTCAGTTCCACTTCCTGCGCTATAGACAAGACCTCGATGACGCTCATTGCTCACGCGATGTTCCCACCAGATGTTAGCCAAACTGCGAAGGCACCGGTGGTCGGACATATCTGGCCTCTTTATGGCTGCCGTTCTAATGAGCCAGATTTCACAAGCGGATAGCAGGGTGGAACGTACGGCTGCATTCAGGGAGAGAGTGATGTCACGCCGGCATCATAGGTGGCGGTTAGTGAAAACGGCACGTGCTTTTGCTATACGTTTCGTGATCTTTTCGATTCCACAGGCGCTGCTAATTATCTAGGTTGTTGATTTTCTGAACGACTTTTAGCTGAACCCCTTTTAAGAGTCAGCGCAGGAAGCGGTCTCTGCCAATCTTGGAGGAAAACTTTGCACTCCGAGTGTTAAGCATTGCTCGAAACGGCTGACAACCAATGCTAATCGGTCCAGCTGTTAGACACGTTTGTCAGGTGTCTCAGATGAGGACGATGTCGTCAGCATATTCCAAATCAAGAATACCTTCATCTGGAGGTAGGTTCATACCTTCTAAGTCGTGCCGAGTGCGTGCGATTTCCATGACTTCTTCAGTGGCGAAGTTTAAGAAGAAAGGTGATAGCGGGCATCACAAACTATTATTTAGTTATATTATATTTTTTCATATTTCATTGTAATCGAAACACCAATCCAGCCTATGAACGTGTTGGTAGGATACCCAATTACTCGTGGGCCATTCCGTTCTGTTTTTGAAGCACCTGTATCATGCAATTCTGCTCTTACATTCCCACTTCCGTGAAATTTTTCCAACTATTCTAAGCAGCAGGGAATAGACATGCACTTGAGTTAGGCGGCGTCAACGAATTTGTTCAGTCTACACACGCTTACACTATCATTATTCATCATCGGTATACTATTTGACTAGCGGATGAATGCCCATGCCATATTTTATGCTCACCAAAAATTCCGCGACTAACTGACCGAGCCTGTTAAGTCGTGTCTGGTGCACTTCGTGAAAAAAACTGTTTGTCTATTTATAATGCATGCACACAGTCGCCGGTTACTGATCACGCTTACTTCACAGTCCACCTTACAAGTAGAGTGGCACTGTGTGCGTGTGCGTGACCAAGACAACTACCAATTTTCTCTTGTCTCCACATTAATACAATTCGCTTCGATTTCAGGGCATTACCGATGTGGCCATGGTACACCTGGCCACTGGCTGTCCGGAACTGCGTGTCCTTGCCGTTTCCCATTGCGCCATCACTGACATGGGGCTACGGGCACTTGCTGGTACCCTGACACCTACAGCAGCGGCTTCTGTCCTCGGGCACGCCAATATGGTAGCTGTGCATCAGAACGGTGACGCTTTGGTTATCCGTGTGCCTCCTCCTCCACCGACTGCCAACGGTAACGTGAGTCGTGCCGTAAACGAGTCCGAGGTCTCCGCAAGTGGTGATGATCCGCAACGAATCGGTCGGGAAGATACGCGAGAGTGTCCTTCTCCTTCGGATGCGGCAAGCAGTCCACTGATTCCTGTCGGATGTGTTCATTTGACCACTCTAGAGGTGGCGCGCTGTACCGCTATTACCGATATCGGGCTAACTGCGATTGCGCGTGCGTGTACTAAGGCAAGTTTCCACGGTGATATACTGCGGTTTTCTCCCTATATTCATGTTCATCCAATTCATGTAAAACACACCATCAGCCCACAATGGGAAGCGATTTTGAGATTACAAGGTAGTAGTAGTAGTAGTAGTAGTAGTAGTAGTAGTAGTAGTAGTAGTAGTAGTAGTAGTAGTAGTAGTAGTAGTAGTAGTAGTAGTAGTAGTAGTAGTAGTAGTAGTAGTAGTAGTAGTAGTAGTAGTAGTAGTAGTAGTAGTAGTAGTAGTAGTAGTAGTAGTAGTAGTAGTAGTAGTAGTAGTAGTAGTAGTAGTAGTAGTAGTAGTAGTAGTAGTAGTAGTAGTAGTAGTAGTAGTAGTAGTAGTAGTAGTAGTAGTAGTAGTAGTAGTAGTAGTAGTAGTAGTAGTAGTAGTAGTAGTAGTAGTAGTAGTAGTAGTAGTAGTAGTAGTAGTAGTAGTAGTAGTAGTAGTAGTAGTAGTAGTAGTAGTAGTAGTAGTAGTAGTAGTAGTAGTAGTAGTAGTAGTAGTAGTAGTAGTAGTAGTAGTAGTAGTAGTAGTAGTAGTAGTAGTAGTAGTAGTAGTAGTAGTAGTAGTAGTAGTAGTAGTAGTAGTAGTAGTAGTAGTAGTAGTAGTAGTAGTAGTAGTAGTAGTAGTAGTAGTAGTAGTAGTAGTAGTAGTAGTAGTAGTAGTAGTAGTAGTAGTAGTAGTAGTAGTAGTAGTAGTAGTAGTAGTAGTAGTAGTAGTAGTAGTAGTAGTAGTAGTAGTAGTAGTAGTAGTAGTAGTAGTAGTAGTAGTAGTAGTAGTAGTAGTAGTAGTAGTAGTAGTAGTAGTAGTAGTAGTAGTAGTAGTAGTAGTAGTAGTAGTAGTAGTAGTAGTAGTAGTAGTAGTAGTAGTAGTAGTAGTAGTAGTAGTAGTAGTAGTAGTAGTAGTAGTAGTAGTAGTAGTAGTAGTAGTAGTAGTAGTAGTAGTAGTAGTAGTAGTAGTAGTAGTAGTAGTAGTAGTAGTAGTAGTAGTAGTAGTAGTAGTAGTAGTAGTAGTAGTAGTAGTAGTAGTAGTAGTAGTAGTAGTAGTAGTAGTAGTAGTAGTAGTAGTAGTAGTAGTAGTAGTAGTAGTAGTAGTAGTAGTAGTAGTAGTAGTAGTAGTAGTAGTAGTAGTAGTAGTAGTAGTAGTAGTAGTAGTAGTAGTAGTAGTAGTAGTAGTAGTAGTAGTAGTAGTAGTAGTAGTAGTAGTAGTAGTAGTAGTAGTAGTAGTAGTAGTAGTAGTAGTAGTAGTAGTAGTAGTAGTAGTAGTAGTAGTAGTAGTAGTAGTAGTAGTAGTAGTAGTAGTAGTAGTAGTAGTAGTAGTAGTAGTAGTAGTAGTAGTAGTAGTAGTAGTAGTAGTAGTAGTAGTAGTAGTAGTAGTAGTAGTAGTAGTAGTAGTAGTAGTAGTAGTAGTAGTAGTAGTAGTAGTAGTAGTAGTAGTAGTAGTAGTAGTAGTAGTAGTAGTAGTAGTAGTAGTAGTAGTAGTAGTAGTAGTAGTAGTAGTAGTAGTAGTAGTAGTAGTAGTAGTAGTAGTAGTAGTAGTAGTAGTAGTAGTAGTAGTAGTAGTAGTAGTAGTAGTAGTAGTAGTAGTAGTAGTAGTAGTAGTAGTAGTAGTAGTAGTAGTAGTAGTAGTAGTAGTAGTAGGTATTTCAGTCATTTTATTAGGTAATATCAGTAGTAGCAGCAGCAGCAGCAGTAGTAGTAGAAGTAGTAGTATAATGAACAATGAAGTGGTTGAAGTGAAAGTAAACATAAGTGTAAATCGTCAATTTAAGCGTCTAGTGATTCAGGTTGCCCCTTATTCATATAAACATTTCAGAATGCGTACGTAGAGTAATGTGGGAAGTAATATGAGAAATGTATGTCTTACGAAGAAAAGAATCGCCAACGCTTATTCGTGCGACGCTTACTTGGACTGAGCTAACTGATCAATGCAGTTGTAATAAATCCGAAAGTATATTCCACAGCAGCAGTGTGTAAGTAGTAAAGCACAAAAGCTGAGAATGAGCACCGTTTGTTTGACGTAGACATCTCTGATTATATAGCGTAATGTAAGTGGATAAGCGAATCATCCAGACGTCTTTTGAATACCGTTAGCGTGGGGAAGAAACAACGTATGTGGGAAGAGCGTTCCAGTGTTGGCACACACGAAGGGAAAAGAAATTCCGGCGGCATTCCAACCGGCTGTATTGTGACCGGTTTTAGCTGGTGTCCTCTGAGTGTGGTATTGGGATTCAGCTTTAGTAGGTGACGACAATAATGGTTTGGATTCCTCAGGATCATATAAGTCATTATCAAGTCGCCACGCAGGCGTCGATATTGTCCACTGTAGACCCGAGGGTTTTCAGCCTCAATCGGTAAGGGAGATGAAACAGGCCCTTTACGTTCTTGGTCGCCCTTCGTTGTGGCAGTTCAAGAGCGGTAAGGTCTTGCTTTTGCCATGGCTGCCAGGCGTGGATGGCGTACTCAGAATGAGGCCGAATGTAGGCGTTGAGCATCTGAGAAAAGATGGAAGGATCGAAGCGCCCGAATGCCCTCCGCAAAAGGCCAAGGTGTTGGTTAGCTTTTTGGAGGCTTTCTCGGCCTGACGGGAACAGCCCAGATCTTCCTGCACTATCACGCCTAGATCGCATTCCGTTGAAGTGCGCTGCAATATTTGATCCCCCAGTCTGTATTCGCAAGTGGCTTTATGGCGTATGCTCAACACCTTGCACTTTGTAGCGTTGAACTGAAGCAGGTTCTGAGTCGACCATTCGTAGACCCTGTCAAGATCATCCTGAAGTGCTGCATTGTCGCTGGTTGTTCTAATGGCTCGCCATATCTTGAGATCATCAGCGAAAAGTAAGGAGTTGGATGTGACCACTGTCACGAGATCGTTTATGTAAATCAGGAATAGTCGTGGACCAAGTACTGAGCCCTGGGGCACTCCGCACTTAACGTCGTTTGGTTCAGAGATGACGCCGCGAACTCTTACATTCAGATGTCGTTGAAGCAAGAAGTTACCTATCCAACCGAGGATTGGGTCACCAATTCCACAGCACTGCAGCTTGTGAAGGAGGATAGGGTAGTTCAGACGGTCAAAGGCCTTTGAGAAGTCCAGATATACTATATCAACACCTACACCTCTGTCAACGGTCTAAGTCCAACTGAATCTAGCAAGTAGCAAGTTTGAAGTGCAAGATCGGTTCTTGCGAAATCCATGTTGTTCTTGTGCTATGATATTGCGTTCTTCGAAGTAGTTCATGAGCGCTTCGGAACCAATCGCTTTCATGATTTTGGAGAGAACCGGAAGTATTGTTATCGGGCGATAGTTGGCTGGATCTGTACGACTTCCCCTCTTATGGATGGGAGTGACGATGCCCTGCTTCCACATTGTTGGCACCCGCATCTCATCGAGGCATCGTTGGAAGAACTTGCAGAGTGGGTCCGCCAGGTTTACTGCAGCCAATTTCAACGCCTTTGGACGAATATTATCAACGCCGGGAGAGGTATGCTCGCGCAGGGCAATTAGCCTTTTCATAACATCCGCAGTCGTAAACGTGATGTGGCTAAGTCTGGTGGTGGTACAACGATCGGGAACAGTGTATGCGGCGATGTCGTGCTCTGGAAGTTCGGGGCGAATTGTTGACATAGGGCGTTGGCCGCCTCGGTTGCGGTTTGTGCGAGTCCACATGACGTGTGTAAGGCAGGAATTCCTCGCTGCACTTTGCGGAGCTTGTTAACGTGTCTGTACAGGAGCTTGGGGTTTGAAAGGAATTTCTCAGCTAGATTCTGTTGGTGCTGTATTTTATCTTCGCGTACCAGGTTTACGCAGTGATTCCTTTGGATAGTGTAGGCTTCCCATGTTTCGGCACTCGGTGACTCCTTGTATCTTCGCCAGAGTAAATTCCTCGTGACGATACACTTCCGTGTCCTGCTGCGTATGAATGATTTTACTGTCTTCGCTCGCGAAGGCCTTTTCCTAGAAGCACTAGTTACTAACGTGTTGAATTGGTGAGCAAAATCAGACCAGATGACATTGGGGGATCATTCTGCTAGAAATGTCCAGTTTGTAGCATTTATAAGTTTGATTAGAGCGCCGTAATCCGTAATGAGCTGATACTTCTCTGTGTTTTCTGAGCAATACCCTGTATAACAGATGTAATTGAACATGAGCGTTGCATGGTCGCTACGGCCTAAAGGACTCTCTATCGATACCGTTTCGATCATAAGCTCTTCATTGGTGAATACGAGATCCAGGACACCCGGTTTGTTTCCCGTCCTGAATCTTGTGGGAGATGTGATGTGATTGTAGAGTGGTAGTTCACTAATTATCTCCTGTACTTCCATTTTGAAGTGTTCGTTGATAAAGGCTGGGTTTCTATGGTATGAATATTGAAGTCACCAACCAGGAGAATGTGGCTGTACGACTGCGAGAGAATGGTCTTCATTGTGGAGGCTAGGCGGTTGTCCATTTCCAAAGTAGCCGACGGAGGGCGATACACAACACCCAACAAACATGCGTCCCCACGGCTTAGGTGAAGACGGCACCAAAGCGCATCGACAATCTGAACCTCTGGGTCATCGATGAGATCAAGGTGTAGTTCGCTGCGATAATAAAGTAGTACTCCACCTCCTCTACTTGGTCGATCGTTGCGTAGAATAGACATCCCAGGTAGTGCGATTTCTGCATCAGTGATCGCTTCATTCAACCAGGTCTCGGTTATCATAACGAGGTCCTTGACATCGAGGCCTGAAGCAGGCGAAGCTCCGTCAGTTTGCTTAAAAAACCTTGTGCGTTGGTATAAAGACAGGATAGTGTTTCATGGGTTAGAATATTGTTTGTGGATGTAGACAAGAGGATTGAGACTTGGTCGACCCTCTGGATTTCGGCTGCTATTAGTATTTTTGAATAGTTTCAGGCTCCCGAGAATGACTTGGAATAACTCTCTGCACCATGCAATCAGGTTCATGATGATCCTGATGGTCACTCACCTCCTGCGGAATCGCGCTGGATACTATGACGGCTGTCAGATTAGTGTCTGTTGTGGACCGTGCAATAGCGGTCGTTCCCACTGAGTTGGTTCTCTCCATTGAGTAAGCGGTAGCC